TATTGTTGTATGTGGTGTGCGCGCGGGGGGGGGGGGGAGTGGGGAGTCGTGTAGTTTAGGAGGAGAATAAATATTTCTTGACATCAGAGCAGTGGGACACGACACAAAAGCTTAGCCAGGAGAACATTTCAAATCATAGTAACAGAGTGGACAGGATCACTATCAAGTACTTTGATACTGATACCTGCTGTCACCGTTTGGTTCACCTCTTACGTTACACAGTGTGACGCATTGACTGTCAGGGCAATAGCTTTAGACTGTCAGCTTTTATTTTAGGGGCAGTTTCATCCGTTCTTTTCAAATGATTTAAAAACCTACAGCTTCTTGTGTGTCGTTAAAAAACTTCTCTAGACAGACATCAAAGCCAGACGGGACACGCGCTGAAAATCATCCGTAGTATGCGATTAAGCCTCACACTTTGGAATACAGCCTTTAAACCTGAGTTGAAGTCACTTTTTCAAGATAACAAAATGTCACCAGACTGACTTGAGTGTTCATCGCCGATCAGCAGATTCAGTTTCTCTTCCAAAATGGGTGGATTCCTTATAAATGGAGTCACATGTACCAGAAACAGCTACTTCTGTATGTCCCATGTGTATTCCCCCAGTATTCGGCTGTACTTAGTGTACTTGTCTGCACAGCACAGTTTGACCCAGTGTAGGCAAATTGTAAAATCCCAAAATACTGCCTAGATATTACCGACACTAGAATGAAATAAAGGGGGAAAAAAATTACTATTAATGTTTAGTTTCATTAAGAGAGACAGCTGAATGTGAGCTAGAAATATGTAACTTCAGTGCCTGGTGGAAGATCTGATTATATTTGTAAATATTTACTTATTTCTCCAAGTGGGTCCCACATGCGCTGTGGTGATGTTCATTTAGATGTACCTGTTATAGTGGGAATTACTTGACACACTCATCACAGATTAGAATCTCTACTCTCTGTGGTAGCATTTGTTCCGGCGGAGCTGTTTATAGCTGTAACTATTGATTAGAGTCTCACACCATAACAATAAGTATCATCTCTGAAATCAGTCATCCCACGTTTTTCAATATGTGATCACTCTGCCCTGCGTTATGTGTCCGTGTCACAGGGAGTGCTGTAGGTTTTTCGGGGACGACGGGCTGACCCCCAAGGTGTTTTTCACCAAGGTGGCTCCGTTTGGCCTGCTGTGGATCCTCACCAACTACCTGTACCTGCAGGCCCTCAGGAAGATCAACACAACAGACGTGTCGGCGCTCTTCTGTTGTAACAAGGCCTTCGTCTTCCTGCTCTCTTGGATTGTACTCAGAGACCGCTTCATGGGGGTCAGGGTGAGTACATCTGCATGCGTGTGTGTGTGTGTGTGTGTGTGTGTGTGTGTGTGCCAGGTTTTTTGTTGTTTACAGTTTTACGTTTACAAGAGAAAATGTTGCTGCATCTTGAGATAAGAGTCTCAGTCAAGCACAAGGAATAAAAAGCAAAGTGAATTTTAAAGCCATGATTTTCAGATTGTACCCTCTAGGCTACTGTAGCAACGTTCACCTGTAATAAACAAGATTATGACAAACAAAACGATAAAAGGAAGTTGCATAATGTAACTTCTATAGTTTCACGTAAAAGAATAAATAAATAGGTAAATAAATTAAATAATCTCTGTTAATGATTACACCTGTGTCCATGTGGTATTATTGCTGCTCATATGAGGTTATATAATATCTTTGTAACTTGATATTATATTTTAATTGGATGTTAGACTACCCGCTTCATGCTTGAACACAACAGTGGACACAGTTAACTAGACCAGTGCTGGACTTGAAGAAAGAAAGAAAGAAAGAAGGAAAGAAAGAAAAAAGAAAATCATGTCAGCATCTTGTCACATGCTGATCTGATTCATGAATAGCTCAATCAAATAGTGCTTTTTCTTGATTGATTCAGTTTGATGAAAGAGGAAAAAGCCAAAATCAGAGAAAGGTACGGTGGCCCAGAGAGCTCAATGCACTGCAACTTAAGAAAACATGCAAATAGACAGAACAGAAGCAAATTCAGAAAACATCTTCATCAATTTGACGATACACGTGCTGCAAATGCTCACAACATGAGCGGATACAGAAACCTACTTGATGGAGATGTTTTCTGAATTTGCTTTTGTTCTGTCTATTTGCATGTGTTAGTTGCAGTGGGTTGAGCTCTCTGTGCCACCGTAGCAAGGTCAGAGAGATGCTTTTTATTTTGTAGCAGATGTATGTTTTCTTTTCTTTCCTCTCTTGTAAATCGGATTTATTTTGTGACCCCATGGAGGCGGTTGGAAATCATTTATATCGCTAGAGACAAAAGTGTTTCATTTGGTGGAGAGAAAGACGTCCGCCATTTTCCTCTAAGCTCTAATGGTCAAGTGGGGATTTTAATTGCGTCCCGGAGTGTGTATGTATCACCATATCACCTCTACTGTGCATTCGGTGTGTATGGCACCCAAAGGAAGGCACATAATATGTCGCAGCTGAATGTGTGAGCTAACATGCACACACACACACACACACACACGCATAGTCGAGTAGAGAGCATGTTACCTGTGAGACAGCGAAATATCCCACCGATCATCACTGTCATTCAAATATGCCTCCTGCTGTGTGTGTGTGTGTGTGTGTGTGTGTTTGTTTGTGCTTGCATATGTTTGTCACTGATTTTTCCCGGTTGAGGAGGAGCGGGAACAGGAGAGTAAGGGTTTAGCTTTGTGAATCGAGGTATCTACTGCTCTCCTCCCACTGCACACCTCTGATGCTCTCACATCTGCAGCCATCCTGCACTCTGCAGAATGGATTTCCCCCTCTTTTTCTCTTTCACACACTCACCACTCCACCACCCCGTCTCTCCCTCGTGCATGCTCCTACACCCCACCCCTATTATCTGCAATGAAAGGGCCTCGGTAAGAGACAAATACTTTAATAATCGTGCTTCGCTCTCTCTCTCTCTTGCTTGGTGGTGGGGATTGCAGTGTTTGAATGTCTGCAGCAATGCAGGGGATCTTGGACGAGTTTGTCATGAAAGTGTAGGAGGAGAGAGAGAGAGAGAGAGAGAGAGAGACATGGGTGGGGCTAAATCATTAAAAGGGATGCTGGTTGTTTCACTGATGTTGTGTGTGTAAAGAAATGGCCCTGTCTTATTTGCAACAGCAGAGGCAGAATGGAGTGAACAGCCATTTGGCAAATGTGTGACATGTTTGGATTTATCACTTGTTAAGGGAGTTCCATGCTTAATCCACATGCACACCCTGCCGTGGTAACACTGTAATCACACAAGCTGCTCAATGCGAGGTTGTCACGATCCTTTCCCTCCTCTGCTCCTCGCATTGTGCTGAAACATCTCGAGAAGCTAAAACATAAACTCATGCAGGGTCACTGACCCTGTAGGCAAAAAGTGCTACAGTGGAAATGAAAGGTGTAGCTGTGACTGACAGGCAGCCTGCAGTGCAGAAAGAGACATTTTGCCAAAGGTGCTCGAGGGCTTTGTCCAAGCAAAAACACACGGCTCATTTGTCTTCCTGACACCTCCTTAATGCAGAGCAAATCCACTCAGCTGGACTGCGCCTTGACCCTGCCGCTACTCTTCAGCCCAGTCACCCCTCCATGCACAGTGACCACATGCACACAAACATATACGGCTAAGACAGAAAGCTGTAAATGCAATGCACCATAATGGAAAGATTTTCATTCTGGTACTGACTGACTAAGAGCGGGATGAATGGTTTGATGCCGGTGTGAGGCGGCGATAATCGCAGAGGCAGGGAGTGGGTGTGAGAAGTGGGGTGGGGTGGGGGGGGGTTGCACCGCCATGATGTTTACATGATGGCGGTGCAACGGAAATCAATGTCAAACAATCAAGCCAACACTGTAGAAGCTACTTGTCCTATGTTGGAAGCACTTACTGTGTGAATCTGAGCACAGCTTTCATTTATGTGTTTGTGTTTTCCTGCATATGAAAAAGTGTAAATACCGAATATACATTACATTATGTAAGTACCAAATTAGAGGCCATCTTCACCGGCCGTGACACCTGTCAATATGTTGATGTTCCGACTCATGAGCACTCTACATGAGTCCTCAGTATTCAAGGGTTTGGACGACGCCCATCTTCAAACTCAATATCAATATCACGCTGACAAAATCTGTCCACACACATATAAACACCTGCCAAAGCGCTCAAAACCACTGTGGTAGTTCCTGCGACAGTAGGTGTCTCCAATACTACATTTGCACACACACACACACACACACACACACACACACACACACACACACACACACACACACACACACACACACACACACACACAGACTCACAAGTTGAAAACAATACCCGCCACACTGTCGCAGCTAGTGTTTTGTTTACTTGATGAAATTAAGTGTTCTAAATAAAGGACGAGTTGCTCTGTGGTAGATCCACAGATCTGAATCAAACATGAAACATTTTGGGGATTAGAATATTAGAATATTAGAAACATTTAAAGGTCACGGTGTGTTTCTAAAGTATTTGTGTGCATGCACACATACAAGTTTTTGGGAATGTGACAGGAGGCTAAAACTAGGAAATGGGGTAAGTGGACTAATGTCTTGCATGTACTTGTTTTGCACATAAAAACTATCCTCATGGATAAAATATCAACATATGACTCAAGACAATTATTTTGGATTGCCACAAAGTGCGTGACTTCATCCTCCCTTATACCCTGCACACACACACACACACACATACAGATACACATACACACACACACACACACACACACACACACACACACACACACACACAGGTCCCTGAACACAACGTGTCAATATGATGTTGAAGTTGCACTCGTGATCCAAAACGAGTTTGCTAGCTGGGGTTCTCTCATGCTGCTTACACAATGGCCCGTGTATGGGAGTTGCCTGGTGGCATTGCTTAAGCAGGCAAAGAGTTGATTCATTCTGCACTAATTGACAGCTAATTAAAGGTGTGACTGCACAGTGAATTGACGAACTGTGAGGCCTTGACTGCAGGGGATGTTAGAGAGAGCGAATTATGAAATATTGAGTCTTTCAAGTACCACCTGCCATTAGATATGGCCTCAAACATATGGACCTGTGTGTGTGTGTGTGTGTGTGTGTGTGTGTGTGTGTGTGTGTGTGTGTGTGTGTGTGTGTGTGTTAAACAGGCTCATTCTAGCCTGTAGAGCCAGGCTGCAATGCCAGCCTTTACTCAAATCTGCCTCTGTGGTAGTTAGTACATTAGTTGTGTCCAGAACCATATTTTACCATGATGACGCACACACACACACACACACACACACACACACACTGACTTGCAAGGTGAAAACAACACCAGCCCTGCTGTCGCGACTGGAGCAGTCTGCAGACTATAAAATAAACCCCACATATTAATTATACCACTACAAGCCTTGTCCTGTGAGGCTTGTGATTTTCTGCAGTGAATAACAAAGTGGAGACCATGTGCGCCTGCTGTGTCCCTACACAGCAGTAACGGCTCCGGCGTCTTTATCACCACACTGTGAGCAGCGTGTCGTCCATCCGTCTTTCACTGATGTTCCTCCTCCCTCTCTCTCTCCCTCTCTCTCTCTCTCTGTCCCTACAGATAGTAGCTGCTATCTTGGCCATAGCAGGCATTGTAATGATGACCTATGCCGATGGTTTCCACAGCCACTCAGTCATCGGCATCACTTTGGTCGTGGCCTCGGCTTCGATGTCGGCGCTCTACAAGGTATTTGTTTGCATTGGATTGATGGGAAAAAACTAAACTAAGGTTGTGTACCTCCATAAACCCGAACCCAAAAAATGTAAAAAAAAAAAAAAAAAAATAGCTAAACATATGTATGACTAGTCTTGTCTTATGTAAGAAATCCTGGACTAGCTCCCTTCTACTTATGTAACCAGGTGGCAGAAGACAGGAGGAGATTATGAAATGAAAGACTCAGTTGAGCGTGTGATGTGTGTGTGTGTGTGTGTGTGTGTGTGTGTGTGTGTGTGTGTGTGTGTGTGTGTGTGTTTGTGTGTTTGGTTGCTGGCCTCAGGCTGTGATGTCCTGATCAAGGAGCTTACGGGACAGATAGCTATATTTTGATGGGGCTCTGGTCTCCTCTACCCTGCTGCCTAATGTGATAAACAGACAGCAGCGGTGGCAGAGACGTGGCGGGTACTTGGCAGGTGCGCCCCTCTGCACTACCCGTCCTGCTCCTTAAGGGGGCAGATTCTGTGCATTCATGACTCCCACTGTCCTTCTCCATCCTCAGGTGCTCTTCAAGATGGTCCTGGGCAGTGCCAAATTTGGAGAGGCTGCACTCTTTCTCAGCATAGTTGGAAGTGCCAACTTTGTTTTCATCAGCTTTGTGCCAGTCATCTTGTATTTTACACACGTGGAGTACATTGGCTCACCTGCAGACATCCCCTGGGCCTACCTCTGTGGGGTTGCAGGCCTGCTTTTTGGTATGAAAAGACACCATATGAAGCAATATAGTGCATACACCTGATACTGTAACGATTAGGTAACCCAAGAATATCATTTTGCGGTATGACACCGTCATTGTGCAGGTTTACTTCTGCTCTGATTCTGCTTCTTCTTACAGCTTTCAACGTCCTGGTGAACTTTGGCATCGCGATAACATACCCGACATTAATCTCACTTGGCATCGTCCTAAGTGTTCCTGTAAATGCCAGTAAGTCTCTTGGCTTTCCTCTCAGACCTAACTTCTTAGGTCCAGTCACCATTTAATATTTGATGTAATTGAAATCAATATTTGCGGCATGATTTACATTCCTCTTTGTATATTGATTGTTGACATTAATCCCATAAATTCTTGTGTGGTAATTACAATATTTACAAATTCCTTCATGTGCTCAGACTAATGCGTCCTCTTAATTTCACAGTGGTGGACCTCTACACATGTGAAATTCATTTCAACACAGTGCGCCTCATCGCTGTGTTCATCATTTGCCTGGGCTTCCTCATGCTGCTGTTACCGGAGGACTGGGACCAGTGTATCATCCAGCTCAGCACCAGGCTGCGCAAACGTGACGAGCCGGCAGAGGGCAACGGAGAGGCGGGCGCCACCACGGGGCTCAACTGGAGAGGGAGAGCCAGGACCTCCATGTCAACATTTGCACACTGACTCCATGAAATATAACCATATTAACACACACACACACACACACACACACACACACACACACACACACACACACACACACACCCACACACATACAGACACAGGGAGGTAGACACATTAACACCTCAATGTTGGGACATTTGACCTGCCTGGTGCCCTACCCTCTCTCTTACACACAGCTCCCTGGGTGAAAAAAAAGTATTTTGGACTGCGCTCTGATCAGTAACATTTCAGCCAAGAGGGGAGATAGATTGCGTGTCATTCGTTTTGGCGTCCACTCCGCTCAGAAGTTATTCGAGTTGGTGTATGGACTCATCTCAATTGTAATCCCTCTTACCCAAAAAATGATCAGGTATTACTGATTGAGTCATGTATTAATTTTGCTGTACCTCTTAATCATTCCACTGGTTCACTACATCCTTGCGCCTGGGGCGACTTGCCAACTCGGCTGATAAGACAGACGGACATTTTATCGAGGAAGGCCTGACACCTTGTGGTCTTGCTGGCTTTAACATATACACATTTACACACATTTAAGATCCAAAGAAGAATGCCTAAAAATGCTGAATGCCTGAAAACAAAAAGGGAGGCCCACAGTGGGATCCCTCAGGTGTAAACTTATGACAAATACCTGCCTTTCGTGCACTGTACATAGCTGTATTTCACACCTTGGATGTCCTTGAGCTGTGGACCCGATGGCCTCATCTGGCGTGAAGGGACCTGTCTGGACGTCTGAGGATCAATCTGAGCAGAAGAAGCTTTCACAACGCCTCACTCTGTTCATCCTGAGAGAAGTGGTCAGGTCCTTTTCAACCGCACTGATTGGCCACCTGTGGTTATGTGCTTTCCTGGGGTTCAACTCCCGCTCTGTCAATGCTGACACCCATTGCTCAGGCCCACGGTTTAGTCACGAGAGATCTAAAACCAGTATCTATATTGCAAACGCTCTCAGTGCATGAGATGGTTGAGATTTGTTTGTCAAAAAAGAGTGAGTGCTGACAGTCCATCCATAAAGCATTTGCCTCCCATTTCCTGCTGCTGAGACACCAGCAGCAGGTAAATACGTGTATTTACATGTACTGTCATACAAATGATATTAAACTCACAATTAATGCTTCAGGTATCCCAACCATTGGATGGACTAAAAGCACCAACAGCTCATAATAAGACATGAAATCTTGGAACTACCCCTTTAATAACTCGGAACATCAGTCATAGCTATCACTGAGCCTCCCTTCGAAATCCTATCACATTTAACTCTCTAGACTCATATTCACACAAGCTAATTTGGGACAGCTCTCAGTTTATATTGTTTCATTCCTGAAGAAAATAACAAGACGGCAAATGAAAACTCACTGTCTCACTGTGGCGTGAGGAGAGGGCGTGTTGACACATGAAGAATGGCTCGCATTTGCCCAACCCCCGCTCTTTGTCCGAGTCTCACTGTATCTGTTTTCATTGATCACATTTCCTGAGGCAAGTTAACAACCTGAGATGAACCTGGGAGCAAGTGAGGCGCACGCCTTGTAAAGCGACTGGTGGAAACTCTTGCCTTGTTGTGAATGTATGAACATCACTCGACCACACATGCTCGCTATGTGCTATCTGTTTTCTTACAGTGCCACCACAGACTGCTGCAGAGAGACTCTTTAATACTATCCTTCTTGTACTCATCTGACCGAGTTGCATTTTTTTTTTTTTTTTTTTTTAAAGGAACTCTTGACGCATCGCACTGGACTTTTTTATATTTTTGCATTGGGTTGCTGACTAACCTTGAGAACCGGTGAGTGACACCTACAGGACGAGCATGCACATACTGTATGAGCAGATACAGCTGACAAGTCCACTTCACTGCCTTTTCTTTGTTTTGCAATAGAGTACAATAGCACTGTTTCCCATTGTCATTCTCTATGACAATAAATAATAATATTGTATTCCTCTGGAATTATTGCTAGACATAAATGTAAACCTTTGTAAGGAATGAAGATTTTTACACTGAGATGCAACATATGATTATCACATTTGAGGAAGAAATATTTAGAGTGTGAATAAATGATGGGTTTATTAGATCTACTGTTGGGTGTCTTCAAGTGTAATCACATGTACTATATAAAAGATTTCTTTTCAATACATCCTCTTGTCCAGGTTTATTATCTCCTGTGTTGTAGTTCTGTGTTTCGCAATTACTGATCACCACTAATGGCCTCCAGCAACTTAATTGAACAATATAAAATTAATCTGCAGAATTCTTTTAATCGTTTCAAGCAAAAATGCCAAGGTTTGCTGGTCTCAGCTTGTCAAATGTGAGGATTTGCTCCTTATAGTAAAATTAATATTTGGGGGTTTTGAAGTGTTGGTCAGACAGAACAAAACATCTGAATATGCCACGTTCAGCATCTGGGAAATTGTGATTGATTCTGGAAAAAATAATTAGCATATTAATTGATTATGAAAACAATCATTTCAATTAGTTGATTAAACATTTCAGCATTTTTCTTAAGCAAAAATATGACTGAATCCATGTGTGACCATTTGCTGGTTTTAAATGAAATATCTTTGGATTTTTCTTGGTCAGATAAAACAAGCAATAATAATATGCCAACTTGGACTTTGGGGTATTCTGATGGACTATTTTCTGTCATTTTATGGACCAAATTTTTAATCAGTTAATTAAGAAAGTCAATAATCAATAATGAAAATAACTAATGCAGATAACATCTGCAGAAGTACAATTAACAAACATCATGCTCTACTCTCACTGTTATCTGGCCGTAGAAGAAAGTGGCCTGACGCTCCTGGGTTAGAGCAGAGAAAGGTAGTCTGCTGCCCTCCTGTGGGCGAGAGGGAACCTGCAAGCAGTCCACCCTCCTGTCAGCACCAGCGTCTGGCCACACACAGGATGTGGAGGTATTGTCAGGGTGACACACTTTGCATAGATGCTCCTCAGAATGACTTTTGAGTGTTTCGGTGCTAACAGTAAAAATGGATGGGGAATACTTGGAGTCATCACAAGTTGAACTCTCAGAGCTGGAAGGTGCACCAGGATGGGGGGTGTTTAGAGTGCAGGGGTCGCTGTTCTTGCATTCGTCTCCCTCGGCCCTGACCTCGCCTCCCCTGCCCCCCACACTCCCCAGCCGAGCTCTTATCTTTTGCCTCAGTCCCTGAAGAGCACCCTGGAAACGCTTGCTAAGCAGAGCGTACAATAGAGGATTGATGTCAGAGTTCAGCAACACCAGCCAGTATGAAAAGGTAACGGCAAAGGGTGGGACGAGGTTGGATTGGCCTGAAATTGCGGTTTCTGTGGCCTGAACCAGTGCCACACCAATGTAAGGTGTCCAGCAGAAGAAGAAGGCTGAGATGACCAGGAAGAGACGCACCACTCCATGGTGGTGATGGTGCTGCTGGGAGTTCTGCAGGGGTGGCTGGGAGGTGTTCTGAGCCAGGAAAGAGAACAGACGTCTGGCTGTAGGGATACTCTGCTCTGTGGCAGAATTAGGGAGAGCAGGGCTTATATCATTTCCTCCTTCTCCACTGACCTCGGGGACAAACTGTCCACTTACATGATAGATCAGTCTCGAGGGGCTGTGGAGTGTCCCACAGTGCTGGTGTGGTGAAACACCAGGAGCGAAGGCAGAGCCTGGATTCCTGCTTCGCTGGACAGAGTCCTCCAATGTATGGATCCTCCTTGCGTGGCTGCGCGCCACCTTGACTATGTTCACATAGCAGAAGAGGATGACCACTGCAGGTATGAGGTAGCAGAGGGCAGCCATGAAAGCTGTGTAGCTGGGACTGCTGGCCCAGTTGACTGCACAGCTGTACATGGGAACCACATAACTGACAGAGCTCCAGCCCAGCAGGGGAGGGCAACTGGTGACCAGAGCCTGCAGCCAGATCCACAGGACTACAGCACAGGTCCTCCACAGGGTGCAGCGGGAGCTGTAGCGCAGGCAGTCCATGATGGAGTGGTAGCGGTCAAGAGCAATAGCAGCTAGTGTCAGTACGGAAGCTGTGCAATACACAGAGGAGGTGTAGCCCACGTACAAACAGAGGTCCTGCCAGGCAGAGGAAAATAGGTGTTATAACAAAAGAAGTCAGCATTAGTTCATGTCAGACACTAAAGCTGAGATGTTTTATAAGTATGAAGTGTTTTATAGAACTGGACAGAGGTGACGTACAGTACAGTCCACCCATCCACGGTTCATGATGGACAGGGCAACAAAAGGCATGACTCCGACGCCCACCAGGAGGTCGCTGATGGCCAGATTCATGACCAGCACTGATGTCACAGAGTGGAAAGTCTTGGTGGCAGCCACAATAATAATGACAAGAATATTACCTACACATAAATACAACAAAACACAAACACAAACACAGACGCACACAATGAAATAGAGGTCAGACAAGTTGTATTCTAGACCATCTTTTCATCTGTAACACGACAGAGACAAACGACATTTTTATGCCTCACTATACTATGACGTTTTATGCCTTACTATACTATGACGTTTTATGCCTCACTTAACTATGACGTTTTTATGACATTTTTATGCCTTACTATACTATGACGTTTTTATGACATTTTTATGCCTTACTATACAATGACGTTTTATGCCTCACTATACTATGACGTTTTTATGACATTTTTATGCCTTACTATACAATGATGTTTTTATGACATTTTTATGCCTTACTATACTATGACGTTTTTATGACATTTTTATGCCTTACTATACTATGACGTTTTATGCCTCACTATACTATGACGTTTTTATGACATTTTTATGCCTTACTATACTATGACGTTTTTATGACATTTTTAACTATGACTTTTTTTGACATTTTAATGCCTTACTATACTATGACATTTTTATGACATTTTTATGCCTTACTATACTATGACATTTTATGCCTCACTATACTATGAC